CTGCTAGTTTATAATACTCTACAAATACTTCTGAGCTATTAGGAGGTGTAAATTTAGCTGGATTTATAGAGATAAGCTACAGTTGAAGGCAGCTGGAAAAATAAGTGACACTCTAAGGAAATGTACATAATATTCTTTTCTATGCTATGAAACTAATTTTCCTTATCTGTGAAGCAGTTATAATCTAATTTGTAGCCAAAAACTACACAACCTATCTGTTGTTCCAGTGTGTACATGGGGGGGGGGGTCACGGAAGGCATTTCCTTGCTTTTGCATTTTATAGGTATCTCCTAATTTCTGGCTTGTTGCACAAATATAGTGTGATGTCTACATGCAGACAAGAGGTGTGCCTGTATCATCAGAAAAGCATTTAAAGCACAGGGCATAAAAGGGCCCTGGGACCAGTGAAAAGGCTGAGCAACGGTGCCAAGTGTAGTACTATCTGTTTCAAATACAGTGGTGCCTCGCATAGCGAGGTTAATCCGTTCCGGATTAACCTTCGCTATAGCGAAACATCGCTAAACGGAAATTAAAAAGCCATAGAAACGCATTGAACTTTGTTCAATGCGTTCCTATGGCTTTAAAACTCACCGTTAAGCGATCTTCCTCCATAGCGCCGCCATTTTCGCGCCCTCGGTAAGCGAGGGCAGGGCGCGAAAATGCAGCGCGGACCTTCCGGCGGCCATTTTGGAACCGCCGATCAGCTGTTCTCCCCCACTTCGTTATGCGATATTCGCTAAGCGAATCGCTTAGCGAATATTGCAAAGCAAAAAAATGCCATAGGGGCCATCGCTGAGCAAATGCTCCAGCGATGGCCCAAAGCCCCTCGTTAAGCGATTTAATCGCTCAGCGGGGTGCTCGTTAAGCGAGGCACCACTGTATAGGTAAAGAATCTTAGTGAAGAAACTCCCTTAGCATCACCCACTCTGATTTTAAGTGCAAATCATCAACAACAAAACAACAGAGGCTCCAGCTGAAACCAAATACATATAACTTGACAAATGTCACCAGTGAAAAGGAAATTATCTACAGAAATCATTTCTAGTAAATTGAGCTGGGATGAAGAAAAAGAGAGAGAGAGAGAGAGAGAGAGGGAAAGAGGGCAAGCCTGGAAGCCAAAACCAAGAGAGAAGTAGCATTGAAAACTGAACAGAAAAAGGAGGGAAAACAGAGGTTCTGTTCTATTATGTCTCCCAGGCATATGTGGTGCTGGAAGAGTTTCATTTATTTATTTATTCATTCGATTTATACCCCGTCCCCCTAGACAGCGTCTACTCGGGTGGCTTAACAAAATCATAAAATATCATTAAATAACAATAATTCCTCTTGCTGATTGGAAGCTTTGCTTATCCAGTCAGCAAAGTGTGATTGTTTAGCAGCCTTCACCTTAGCCAGGTAATGGTTAGTTGCGATCCTGACAGCTTTCTTATTATAACCCCTCGGTTCCTCTCTCCAGAAGCACTCTAGCCATCTCCTTTTTCGCTTCAACAAAATCATAAAATATCATTAAATAACAATAATTCCTCTTGCTGATTGGAAGCTTTGCTTATCCAGTCAGCAAAGTGTGATTGTTTAGCAGCCTTCACCTTAGCCAGGTAATGGTTAGTTGCGATCCTGACAGCTTTCTTATTATAACCCCTCGGTTCCTCTCTCCAGAAGCACTCTAGCCATCTCCTTTTTCGCTTCATTGCTCATAGGTCCCAATTATACCAGGACCCTGGCCGAGCTCTGCGCCTGAGAGGGTGTTTGGGAGCGATCGTGTCTACAGTCCTAGTGGTGGCAGCAAGCCAGCCATCAACCAGAGCTTCGACACAGGCGCCAGACAGGTCAGCTGGAATCCCTCTCATGGTATCCTGGAATCTCATTGGATCCAGTAACCTTCGAGGGTGGACCACTGAAATAGGTCCATGCTCCCTGCGGGAAGGGAGTGCCCCTGAGAGGTTACATTTTATTAGGTGGTGATCTGACCATGACAAGGGGACTGACACCAGGTCAGTCACCATCAGGCCACGCTTGCTCTGCTCTGTGGAAAATACCAGGTCAAGCATATGGCCACCCACGTGTGTGGGACCATTGACATGTTGGGACATGTCCAAGGAACCCATGGTTTCCAAGAACTCAAGAGCTGGACCGGAAACCTCTTCCTCCGCATGTATATTGAAGTCACCCAGGACTAAAAGCCTCAGAGGCTCCAACAGTGACGCGGAGACAAGGTTTTATGGATACTTCGAACTTCTAGAAAGACAAACAAGTGGGTCGAAGATCAAATCAAGCCTGAACTATGTCTGGTGGTAAAAATGTTAAAACTGAGGCTGTCCTACTTTGGACACATCACGAGAAGGCAGGGTTCTCTGGAAAAGACAATAATGTTGGGAAAGGTAGAAAGTGGCAGAAAAAGAGAAAGAACAAATATGAGAATGACTGACTCCCAAAAGGCTTGAGTTTACAAGAACTGAGCAGGGCAGTTGAGGACAGGGTTTTGGAGATTGTTCATTCATAGGGTGACCATACGTTGGAAGCAACTTCCCAGCACAGAACAATGAACATCCAAAGTTAATGACTTGCTGTATATGTCAGAAGAGGATCAGCAGGACAATTCCCTCCTACACCCAGAGAGAGAGAGAGAGAGAGAGAGAGAGAGAGAGAGAGAGTGATCCAGCTTCATCCCAGAAAGCACAGCACAGAGATTATCTTAGTGATGGAAATTGTGGGAGACACAGTGCTTTTGGAGTATTAACATGACACTGGATTTGAACATATTCTTGCCTTTGAAGGCTTGGAAATGACTTTCAAGGCAAGTAGGAGAATTCCTTCAGTCACTTGAGAATTGGCTGTAGCTATTCTGGAAGTCTACAGACCAGGTTGGGCAAAACACAGTCCCCAGCTGCCCCCTGCCACCCTGCCCCCGACACTACTGGACAGCAGCTCTGAGCACTCCTTAGCATTCGCTGAGGGGAGTTACAGTCGAGCAGCCTCTGAAAGAGTGTACTTTGCCACAGGGCCAATTCTTAAAAAGTGTCTGTGTGCGCGCGCGTGAAGAATAAGATAAATGCTTTCTAATTATAGCCAAACAAGAGGGGGGAATGTAGAAGTCTCACTGTGAGACTGAAGAGGGACCATAAAGAAATTGTAACAATACAATTTTGCACATATTTGCTTTCACACTATACTGTTTATGCCAATTAGATCATTTGCACACCTCCATATTTAAAATATTAAGTAGTGACAAACAGTAAGGAATTGTGGTCTGGTGAATGAGGAGGCAGAGACAAAGGACCTTCTTGAAAATCCCAGTTATGCCATTTTTGTTTGTGTAGATTCCAAAATCCATTTCAGATACACTGAGTGCTTTCCCAAAGCATTTAAATTGAGGTTTCTTAGGTTTCTGATTATATGTCATCATTATCAAACAGCTGGCAACAGACTGGCCAGTGGAATACTACAAGATGGGCCAGTGAGAATAGACTGCCTTGACATAAAATTCCCTGCCCCCAAGCTGCCAAATGCCAATTTGATAAATAGACAGACAGACAGACAAGAAAGGTCTCAAATTTGGTGAGGAAAGATATTCTTGAACACTGCTGCCTCAGTGGCGGATGAAAACGAACTGAGGTAAAATGGAGGTAAGATGCATGACATGGCCAGTATAGTGGGCTGAGCTGCCAAAACCCTTGGGACTGGCTCAGAGATTCCAGAATGTTCTCGGCAGGCACAGAAAAACCCATTAATGTGGGTTCACAGTGAACATAACGAAGAACATTCCCCTCCCCCCTTTATGGTAGGACAAATTTTCTGTGGTCTTGAAATATGTCCATTTTGTAAATTAAGCACAACATGGGGGGGGGGGAGGAAGCCCCTGACACCTCTGTGGTGCTGGAGGCCAATTTCTCTTGGAGCCTTGAGAATCCTCAACAAGATGTTTTCCACCATGAAGAGAGACTTTGACAGATCTATTTCTCCCACATCCTTAGGAGAAAGGGGGCTCCTGAGTAGCTCTTGAATGAGCAACCCTGCTATTTCCTACTACTGGCAAATTGTCAAACAGGTCCTGGCAAGGGCATGACAGTGAGCAGTTGGATAGCTCATAGGTTGTTAACCTGTGGTCCACGGACTTCCAGGAAGGCATGATGTCCTTGCAGGGGGTCTGTGCAGGCCTGAAGGAATGTTATGATCTTTAGCAGGTAAGTAAGAGAAAAGAAAAAAAAAGAGGAAATGTAAAACAAAATCTTAATTTCCCTTGCTTGTTCATGTAAAAAACAAAGAAAAAAAAGGAAATGTACAAAATCTTAATATCCCTTACTTGTTCATGTAAAACTTGACTTTTCTAAACTACTGCCTCCCTTAAAAAGAAGTTTAAAAAAGTAGTAGGTAAAACTAACTTTGATAGCAAATAAGTACTTGATATTTCTGCACATGGTGAGAACGTGCAAGTGAATGACGTTGAGTGGCTGACAGCACGCAACATTTCTTGCTACTGTGCAGTCAGAAGCTGCAGAGTCAATGTCAATGTGGTATTATTACTATTCTTGTTTTAAATTTCTACCTTCCAATCATTCCAATAAAAATATGATAATAACAGTGTGTGCATTAACAGATTAACTTACTTCTCCCTTCTAAATCTTGAGTTAAGTCTTGGTGGTGGTAACAAAAGATATTTAAAGGGGGCCTGTAGTAAAGAAAAGGTTAAGAACTGCTGGGATATATAACTGCTTTTTCCAGCTTCAGTAAGACAGCAATGTTGAACAGATGCTGTTAGAAGACACCCCCCTCAAGTGCAACATACCCCCTTTCTCTGGCGGCCCTGAGCGGATATATAACTGCTTTTTCCAGCTTCAGCAAGGCAGCAATGTTGAATAGGTGCTGTTAGAAGACCCCCCTCAAGTGAAACATCCCCCCCCCTTTCTCAGGAGGCCCTGAGAATTCATTCTGTAACAATGTGTGTAACTGGTTAAAGCAGACAACTCAAGAATAGCTGTTACAGAATCACACTACTACAACGGAACTCCTCCAGGAATGTATTTATTTACATTAAAACACTATTATACAAACTCAAAAAAGAGACATTTTTGAGAGAAGGCATGCCCAAGCAAACACCCCTCTTACCCACTGCCATGTTGTTCCACTATATTCAAAACGGGAATTCTATGATCCAGGTCTACTTGAAGGGGGAAAAAAATCTACCCAACCCCAAGTATGAACAAACGATGGTAACTGTTAAAGCTCCTCCCAATACTTTTTTATTCATCCAAATAAAACTCTTGTCCAATGGTTTTATTTGTAATTTATTTATGTAACACAGTGTAGAAAGCTATCAATTCATATAAGCAATGATTCTGTACAATCATCCTGCAGAAACTTTTGTAGGATCCCCATCAATTTTTTTTTCAACCAGCAGGCACTTTCCCTACCCCCGCCCCTATAAAAGTGCTCACAATTAACAGGGATTTTTTTTATTTAAAGATGAAAAGATACATGGAAAAAAGTTTACCCCCTTAATGCCTAAAGTGTGCACATAAAACAGGCACAAAGAAACAAATGTGTATTCCCATGATTTCTACTTCACTAGTACAGCAGAAGCAACAATCTGTACAATAAAATGCAACTGCAGAAGAAAATAATCTTAACTCGTCTGGAATACCTTTCTTTAAAAAAAAGGGAGGAGGGAAAAAATTATAATCGACTTTTAAATGCATAGTGATCAGAAGAAGAAAACCCAGCAAAGAGAAGCAGCTCAATCCCACATACACAGAAAGCATCCCAATCAATTCTGAAAGCATATTTCAATTATGACTGTTTTTGTTTCTCCATCACAAATCACAAGAATAATATACAACTGCCTAAAGGAGCTATATGATAAATAATTGGGAAAGAATCTATTCATGCACTAGTTCGGTACAGCTAAACTTTACAGTACACAAAAAACATTCATTAATAATGTAGTTTAAAGACTGAAATGTAAAGAGAGAGAGAGAAAGAGAGAGAGAGAATACATTACTGATTTTATAATTCAAGTTCAGGCATCTACTTGTGTTACAGCACAGCTGTCAAAAGGCGATAATGAGTAAATAATAAAACAAAGTGTTTGTTTTCTTGCTTGTTTCCACATTATTCTCTTAACACCGATGGGCAGTGAAGCAATCATTTTGCTGTCCAATTCATGAGGCTGCTGTGGTGTTCTAGTTCTGCATCTGTTCAAAGAACTTGTAGGTGGGATTTTCATAACCATTTTGTTGCATCTTTGAAAGGTGGCGTTCCTCAGGCGTCACTGCAGCATCCACCTAAGGCAGGCAGAAGGAAGAGCACAGTCAGGTTTTCGCATGGACAGCTCAAAATGGGTGCATTCAAAGTGTTTGCCTCACCCCTAAAGTGGAGCCAGATTGAATTTAAAATGGGTGGGCCGCATGCAGCCTGTGGGGTGACCATTTTTAATGGATCCCCGAGCATGCTGGGTTCTTCGACATCCACTGAAAAATGTAAAACAAACAATTTTTAGAAGATTACACCCTCTGGGGGGCATGTCTGAAAATTTTGTTATTGTTTGAGGGGTCCCCATAGCTCTGTTTTTTAAAAAAGACATATTTTGGCTACTGTTTTTTAAAAGACATATTTTTGACCCAAGTAATTTGTCAAAGTTAAACCCAAAACCCAACACTCTGTTAAGACTGAGATGAGTCCAAGGAACATCACAACTTCTTTCCACAGCAATCTAAGACTACAAGGCATGCTAGTATAAAGATGTGTTCAGCTCCCGCTTCAACCAATCCTCACATGCAATAATATTAATCTTAGAACTGCAAAGTTGGAAGGGACCCTACGGATCATCAAGTCTAGCCCCTGTTTAGGAGGCACAGTGGAGAAATGAACTCTCAGCTTCTGGCTGTGCAGTCAGAGACCTAAACCACCAAGCTATCCAGTAGTTCTTCTGTTTTGCACAATGAAAGAATCTATAAAGCTCTGCACATTTGGTCCAGATGACTCACATTCCGTTTTTGAGTCATTCAGTACAGGCGGTGTTTAAATCTACAGGTTAATATAGCCTAAACTGTTCCTTTATAAACATTCCTTAACTTTGATGCCTACAAAAACCTTAGCATCCTGCTCATCTGAGTTTTCCATTACCTTAGTGATGCTTAATAGTAACTGTCCTGGATACACAAACAAAGCAGATAAGTGAACTAGGACAATACATGTAAGGGGAACTGCCCCAAACAACTACTGCCCTAGTTACAGTCCAAAACCTAAATCCAATTCCTCCCTAGAAGACCTGGCAGCCTTTGTCCTCTTTTTGTGCTACTCAGATTAGCAACTGTTTTTATGATCTAGAACAGAATGTGGATTGTGCACAATACAGTTTCTACTTACAGCTAGGTCCAGAAATAATTGGACACTGACACAATTGTCATAATTCTGGCTCTGTATGCCACCACAGTAGGTTTGAAATGAAACAACCAAGATACAATTGAAGTGCAGACTTTCATCTTTAATTCAAGTGGATGAACAAAATGATCACATGAAATGTTTAGGAATTGCAACCATTTTAATATGCAGTCCCCTTATTTCAGGGGCTCAAATGCAATTTAACTAATTAATACAATAATGAATAAATTGTTCATTTTTAATACTTTGTCGAGAACCCTTTCCAGGCAATGACTGATTGAAGTCTGGAATGGATGGACATCACCAAACACTGGGTTTCCTCCTTTGTGATGCTTTGCCAGGCCGTTACTACAGCTGTGTTCAGTTGTTTTTTGTTTGTGGGTCTTTGTGCCTTATGTTTTGTCTTCAGCAAGCAAAATGCATGTTTGATCGGGCTGAGATCAGGTGATTGTCTTGACCATTGCAGAATATTCCATTTCTTTGCCTTAAAAAACTCTTGGGTCATTTCTGCAGTATGTTTTGGGTCACTGTCCACCTGTAAAGTGAAGCACCATCCAATCAACTCCTCTGAATTTGGCTGAATCTGAGCAGACAATGTATCTCTATACACTTCAGAATTCATCCAGCTGCTTCTGTCTTCTGTCACATCATCAGTAAACAATAGTGACCCAGTGCAAATGGAGGCCATGCCTGCCCATGCCATTACACTGCCTCCTTCGTGTTTTACAGAGGATATGTTATGCTTCGGGTCACGAGTCGTTCCAAGGCTTCTCCATACTTTTTTCTCTCCATCATTCTGGTACAGGTTGATCTTAGTTTCATCTGTCCAAAGAATGCTGTTCTGGAACTGGGTTGGCTTTTAAAGATTGTTGTTGTTTAGTCGTTTAGTCTGGAACTGGGCTGGCTTTTAAACATTGTTGTTGTTTAGTTTAGTCGTGTCTGACTCTTCGTGACCCCATGGACCAGAGCATGCCAGGCCCTCCTGTCTTCCACCGCCTCCCAGAGCTGGGTCAAATTCATGTTGGTAGCTTCGATGACACTGTCCAACTATCTCATCCTCTGCCGTTCCCTTCTCCTCTTGCCTTCACACTTTCCCAACATCAGGCTCTTTTCCAGGGAGTCTTCTCTTCTCATGAGATGGCCAAAGTATTGGAGCCTCAGCTTCAGGATCTGTCCTTCCAGTGAGCACTCAGGCTTGATTTCCATTAGAATGGATAGGTTTGTTCTCCTTGCAGTTCAGGGGACTCTCAAGAGCCTCCTCCAGCACCACAATTCAAAAGCAACAATTCTTCGGTGGTTAGCTTTCTTTATGGTCCAGCTCTCACTTCCATACATCACTACAGGAAAAACCATAGCTTTTTTCCCATTTAATATTTTATTTTTAAACTACTAGGAACAGGGTAGGGAAAACAAAAGGTAAGGGGAAGTGGAAGGGATGGGAAAAGAGTTTTAAGGATAGGAGAGCACAAAATATACAATCATCCATGTAAGCACAAAGCCTCCTAAGAGATTTCTGTGGCCGGACAGAGCAGTTCCAGGAGAGAAGTGTACCCCTTAATTAGCTGAGATGAGTCCTGTTCCCAGCCAGGCCGTCCCATTGCTCCTTTTCTCAAGTCTGTTCCAATTAGCAATTTACTGAGAGAAAACCAAAGATAAAAATCATGAGTTTTGGAGTCTGCCAAGACAAACAAAACTCAGGCAATTAATGGACTCAGTAGCTTAATTGTGGTCCAAGATTATGCAGGTTAGCTGCTCAAGAGACCAAACATAAGTTTTTAAGAATTATTGTTTTATTAGAAAAATAAAGAATTTAGAGATATTCAGTTTGTTGCAAAGCATAGCATCTAAGTATATTTCCATAAATCAAATCAGTTAGAATATAGCAAATTCCAGCTATAAAAATAAAATAATAAACTCTAGAAATAGCTTGAAAGGTAGGCAAGGCTTAGCCCCCCTTCTCTATATCCTTGCAATGAACAACATCCTAGCAAAATACTAAAAAATAGCAATAGGAACTCCAAAGTCCATTCAAAAATCCGTATCAAAAATAATTCTAAAAATCCAAGTCTCTCTCTGTCAGCATTCTTCCATTTTTCTGTCCATGCTGGAACCACCCTTCTTCTTCTCTCTCCACTGACGTCAACCAATCATGATGAAGGACTGTCTCTCTACTCACCACCTTCTTTTCTCATGGGATGTGCAGGTGTTGTTGACCATCTTCCTGATGTTGTGTCTTGGCTCTTATCGTCTTTGGCCAAGCTTGCTACATGGAAAATTCCAACTAGCTCTAAGAGAAACAGCTTCTCGAAGCATCTAGTTACCTGACACACAGACTAAGATGGATTCCTTCTACACAATTCCATGACTACAAATCCCATTTAGTAATTACATTTTAGCCTCAATAACCTAAACCATGACAATCCAATATATTCATATTAAGCATACAAGCATCCAATCTATTCATTTTTCAATAAAAAAATCAACTCTCTACTTTTTTTTACCTGTTCGATTACCCTCTAAGTATCAATTTACATTTATGTTTTAGTTTAAATCTAAGTTACTCCAACACTATCAGGGAACCGAGACCAATTGTAAAATACATCCCCTCTTTCAATTTCCTTCTGTCTTGGACATACATTCAGAATGCCCAAAAAAGTATCAATTTCTATCGCTTCCCATATTTTTTCAGTACACTTCTCTTGTTTCTGTGACTCTGTTTTCTTCCAGTTTTTGGGAGATAGGGTTGAATCCAGGACAGTAATCCGATTTTTAACAACACATTTTCTGACTGTTGTAGCTGAATAGCTCACCAGGTAACTGTTGTTTAATATCTGATGACTTCTCTTTCATCAAATCTTCCATCTGGCTGAGACGCTCATTTACTTGCTGAAATCCTGTTATTATTATCAGATGCATGGTAACCTGCCATTCTTTATCTGGCAAAATCCCCAACAGTTGATATTTAAATTTTTCAGAGGCCATTTCCATCTTTCCAATGCATATGGTTTGTATAAATAATACTTTTTGGTTTCCACTATTTTATCAACAAACCAAACCCATCATCATGCACCTCCACTGAGTATATCCTCCCCTCATTAACCAGATATTATAATATATAGCTCAACTTTTAGCCCAACAATTTGAATTACAACCGTGACAGTATTATCAGAGTCCACACAGTCCAGCCAAGAAAAAGTCCAGACTAAACAAAGGACACAACAAGTCAGTCTCTCCAATAGATATCATTTCAGTTTGTCAAAACTCCAGTCCTGGTTTTCCCAGCTCCTCAGTCTATTCCTTTACGTTCATCTTGCTGATGATTCACTTTCCGTTTTCTTGCTTCCAAAGGTTTATTCCTCCTTCTAAGACCCAGCAAAATTGTGTTATCAAAGTCCCATTGGTCAAACTCCAGTCCTGGTTTCCCCAGCTCTTCAATCTAGCCAATTATGTCATCACAGTGATGGTCTGTTTTCTTACTTCCAAAAGCTTATTCTTCCTTCTCCAAAAGCAAAATTTTATTATTAGAGTCCCACACAGTCTAGGGAAAAAGATCCACACTAAACAGCATTCACAAAATTTCAGTCCCTTAACACCTGTCCAGTAGTATTTTCTCTGGGATTTTTTCCAGAAACACAACATTTTTCCGTCTCACTGTCTCTCTGTTTGACCTTGAGCCAGCCTGCTGTTTAAGAGTCTGTTTAGCTTTGAAGAAGCAGGTTGGCAAGCACAACTCACCACTCCTTCTTTTCGTCAGGTATTTTCACTCTAGTTTCTTTTTCATCTTAATGAGGTTATTCATAAATCAAAGGCTTACTTTGTTATTGTATCTTTTCAGCCATATTTTTGTTCTCCTCTCCCCAGGGAATGGAGGTGCAGTAACTCACAGCTATTCTGCCAAAAAATGGCTCCTGTCTCCAATCTGTGCTCGGGTGAATTTTCAGAGGGAAATAAAATTTTCAGAGGGAAATAAAATCCTCTTCCTTATGGGGCTCACCAACTGCTTCAAAGAGACCTCTCCTGGTCTCCCCTTCAATTCCCCCATTTCTAGAGGGACCCCAAACTGGGCGGTTCCAGCTTTCCCTGGGAGCTGTTCCTGGCAGCTGCCGGCTTCACCGTGACAAAGCTCCGCCAGGAAAAACCATAGCTTTAGACTATGCAGACCTTTGTCGGCAAGGTGATGTCTCTGCTTTTTAAGATGCTGTC